AGAATATAACTTTGAATGTTCTTTACTTTTGACTACTGCATTATGGACTGTATCCTTGTGTTATGTTGTAAGAGATGCTGTTGACATTTGGCTCATTGTCAGGTGGATCTTGAAGAATCAAGTCACTGCAGTGGATGATTCTTCCTGTGGGGTTTGTCCTCTCTCAGGGAACTATGCTTCTATGGACATGAGAGACCTTCCACCGTTCTGGCTGGCCTACCTGAGTGACCCCAGCGACTCTGGACGCATCCATAGCAACATCCGGCAGCGTTGGCTCAGCGGTGCGTCTTCTGGTCCAGCAGCTTGTGTTTGGAGTTGGAGGGGAATGACTCTTGTCTCTTACTGAATACTGGTTTATAAAAGATCAGTAAAGTTTGGCATGCTTGTAAAAAGCAAGTTGCTTTTTCCCCTTTCCTTGACAATACTACTTTGACAACCTTTAAACTGAAAACCTTTTTCGTTGCTTTTGTTGAACTGCTTTCATATTAGTTGTCCACCTGCAGGGGAACCAGTGGTTGTCGAGGCCATGAAGACCTTTGCTGAACTCACAGACCAGGCGAGGTAGATACTCTCCAAAAACAATCCTAAGTATTGGAAGAAGCGTTTGCCATTAAAGATTCTTATTTCCTGTCCTGTTAATAACATATAATATGATGCATTACATTTTTTCTTTAAGAAATCACAATTTTTAAGCTCCAATGGGGGGGAAAAGTATCAGTTAGAATGTCACTTAAAGTCACAATTCTGACTTAGGTGCCTAAGTTTAAGGCACCTATCACATCAATCACATCATAAATTCATCTGTGCTGGAACAACACGTAATTCAGGCTAAGTTTCCAATATACTTTCTTGGAATCAAATGATATCAATGAGTTGACATGACACTTTGTATATTTACTTTGTAACAATGACTCAAACAATGTATTTTGTTTAGAAATTCTGTTTAGATATTTGAATTTAGTAGATTTGCTTTGGATCCTTTCTGAGTGCTGTGTGGGTAGAAACGCTAACCTATTTTCAAGCAGCATAGTTTTAGTAATTTGGTCCAGAGTGTTTTCAGGTGACTTTGAACAGCTTCTTCTTGGTTATTTAGGATGGAATATTTAATATTTAAGGTTGTTTCTGGTAAAATGGGGCAGTGTGTTTATAGTCAGTAATGACACAAATGATGCGTTTTAAGTAAAGTGGGACTAAATTTTAATAATATATGTAATAAATGAAATAAGAAGTTGGAATACCATGTTTCAGATCATTTGAGCATCTCATTTAAGGTAATTTGGGACAAAATATTTCTTATAATTCAGCATATTTAATTTTTTGGGGGACAGGGTGTTTCTAGTAAAGTGGGACTGAGTATGTGAAGTAACGTGGGAGTATTTATGGTAATTCTTGACAGTATATTATACTTTTTTTAAGCAAAATTAATGTGGGACTGAATATTTCACAGTGGAGATCAAGCATGGAGATCAAGCATCCCCATTGGGGTTATAACCGTACATCTGATCATGTTTATGCACATGATGTATGTTTGACCTGTGCATGTAAACACTGTCTGTTTTCATTCTTTTAGACTTTTTATTTCATTTATTACATATATTATTAGCAATTTTCCCCTCCATAGACAGACAGATTAGATGCATGACAAACGGTGCAGAGAGAAATGTGTTACTGGATTCTATTGGTGATCGTATGTCAGCAGTGTGCTCACTGAGAACCAATAAACAAATCTCACTTGTTTTCTGACTTTTAGCTTCAGTGTGGATAAATCGGGTCTGAGCTCATTCACAGACCCAACTTCAGAGCTGAGGACTGTTTTTGTTTGTTTGTTTTCTTCCCTCAGATCAGCGATTGAAGAGAGAGACTGGACTCGACTGGCCCAACTGATGGACCAGAACTTTGAGCTGCGCAGGTAACCCCAGGTTTTCTGTCCCAGTGTGCAGAATGTTTGTTTGTCGAGTTTTTGTCGCATCTGCAGAAGACTCTTAGTCTGTTGCTCCTATGCAAATATGCATTAGACAAAGAAAAACTGATTCTACTGGGATTTCATGTGCTTGACCAACTCAAAGTAGCTCATATCTATAAAATGGGAGCAAAACAATATGCGCTATTCACATTTTTGCTACAATAAACATATGAAAATGTGTGCTTTTGTATTCACCCAGCTTAGTACTCCTAAATAAAATCAAACGCTGCCATTTCTATTTGGAGCTAGTGTGAAGAATCCACCTGTGTGTGATGTAATGTGTATGTGACCGCAGCTGGAGTGTGAGGACCTCAGAGGTTCAGCAGAGAACAGAAGTGAACAGAAACAACAAACCTTAAACATAACCATGGAGATCAGTTTAATCCCTCTCCTGAAAATGGAAAGTGGAAATATAGTGAAGTTATACTTCACTATATGCTCAATATTCCTCATTTTTTTATTTTTTGTTCTGCCAGTAGGAATGACCATGAAATTGTTACTTCAGTCTACTAATATTATAACTTTATCATCGTATTGATACTTTTTTTCTTGTATTTTTACGGCTTTATTCCTGTAATTTTATGACATTATTCTCCTATTATTATGACTTACTATCATATGATTTTTTTTCTCTCAATATTATGATTATATCTTTGTAGTTTAATGTCTCTTTTCTTAGCCTGGCCCTTGGACTAATCCATTGTAGTGTCACGTCAGTATGATAGATGATCTTCTATATCATATCAAAGTGGATATTTGCTACCTTTTCTAAATAAATGCTTCGATTCTACACCTGCCTGATCTAAAATCGACGTGGTTTACAGGTCTATCTACACTGATGACTGCCTGGGTCCTGGGAACCTCAGGATGGTTCAGCTGGCCAGGCAGGTGGGTGTTAGGAGGTACAAGACTGAGCTCTTTCAAGAGCACCAACTGTACGATTAATTAATGAAGACTCTGTCTGATCTGACAGTTTGGCTCAGCAGTGAAGCTCCCTGGCAGCGGGGGGGCCGTGGTGGGCCTGTGTCTGGACCAGGCCAGACTGGTAAGGCTGAAGCTCATTTTTTAATCGTTGAACAGAAAATGGTTCAAGTTGACTAAGGCAAAAAAAAAAAAAAAATTCACACGAGCATCAAATCCTTCCATCTGTTGTCTATACCTACTTATCCTACATGGAGAGAACCCTGATCTAAAGGAGGGAGGTCCATATCTCCTCAATGAAAGGGATGAGGATGATGGAGCCAATCTCACTGTTGGACTTTGTTACTTACAGTAATATTAAATAGGTTTTTGTTGTGATTATCTAGCTAGCCATGCAAAGTAGTGCACGATTGTGAGATGGGAAGAAATGTGTGCATGGTTCTTAAGATGGTTTGCAAATAAAACTCTGAAATGTGTGGCTTTACTGAAGGAGAGAGCAATCCAACCCAGTCAGAGCCCAGTGTTAGCTCTGTAGCCCAGCTAACTGCTTACGGAAGCTGGAAAAGTAAAATGATCTTGCCTTCCATAAAGCTAATTATTGCTGTTAAGTCATTTTAAATGCCGTTTTTACGGTGGGTACGACTTTAGTTTTGCTAGTTATTAATCACCATTTTCGTCACTTTGGTGAAAACTCAAGTGATGATGTCATGAAGGAAGGACGGGCGAGATATCAGCAAGAGAACCATAGACTTCTAGATGTCTGCAAAAGCACTCAGGGTCAGAAACTGTAACCTCTGGAGACATGCCAAACTGAAGTGGCTTTAATGGCCATCATCACATTTAGAGGAGAAATGAAGAAGCTTACAAGCCTGCGGACGGGGCTGGCTATTTTATGTTATTTTGTGTAAGTGTTTTATTGCAGGAGGAAGTCATAATAAAAGACCATCATGTACCAATATGAACGCAAAATCTCAATAAATTAGCAAGGAAGTTGAAACGAATGCACGACGCCCCTAATCATAGGAAGTCAACGGTTGAAAGCCATGTGCAAGCAATTCAGCCGACAAACCCAACTCAGATACAGCAGTTCTGCCAGGAGGAAGGGGCAGAAATACCAGCAAAAACAAACCAAAACATTTGACCCAATTCAGAGAATTTAACAGTAAATTCTACCAAAAATACTTGGGAACATATGGAAAGTTTTTATTAAATTCTCTCATTCTTCTTTTTTAAATTACCTAAAACAGGAGCAGGAATAGTCTGATTTGACATCAGACTGAGAGAAAGTTTGAAATATCCATGTCAGCCTTGCATCCCTTGTGACGTTCAAATATGATTCATCAAACCCAACAATGAATGCGACGTTTAAAGACCCTGTGGTAGTCAGGAAGAGAGACACTAACAATGATGACTCCTCCAAATATTCTGCATCCATAAAACAACAGCACAGATCTTTACGTGATGGGCTGCGTGCCCTGGTTTTTGCTGATGTGTGAGGCCGGTGCGCCTCTGAGTCTGATGCAGTGTCTCTCTTTGCCCACTAGGTGGAGATGAGGCAGGCTTTCCAGGAGGCAGGCTGCGTCTTCTGTGTCATCTCACCGTACATCCCATCTGCCAGCTCCGTGGGAGGCCCTAACCAGCCTGACCCCGCTCACCGCTGACCAGTACCAGGAATGTTCCACAGCTCAGCGGAGCGGCGGTCCCGTTGTTGGGCCCAGCGCACTCTGGTTGGCTTTATTGTAACAATGGATGCACTGAGCTGCATGCAACCAATTAAACTAATAGCTGTTGAGGCTCCCAGTTTTCTCTGCATCTAGAATAAAGAAACAAGTTACAATCAAGGGGACACAATCAGGTGGAGTTGGTGGAATTGTCAGCAGCATCAATCTAAAGTTATGTAATCATTTTCTACATATGAGAGGTGGAGTTGGTGAAATTATTGTCAGCAGCAACCATGTCAAATTCTGTAATTATTTTTCTATGATGTGAGATATATTTTTAGTAGCTACCGCAATTTTATACTGAAATTAAAAATGCTTTTTAATATCATGCTGTGTTTTCTTGTGTTCTTCTGTGAGGATGGCTGGATGGAGCCGCGGTGTTTCTCTCGGTTCTGGTGTCACTAGTTTCGTGTGTCCACTCCGCGGGGTTCTACAGGCTCGGTTATCGGATCTCATTCGCAGTTTCCTCCAGTGGGCGGAGAAGCCGCCGCGCCGCGCAGCGCAGCGCCGCTCCCAGCTCCGCTCCCCTCAGTGCTTCCCGCTGCCTCAGCTCTGCGGCTCATGCGGACCAGCTGCCCGGCCGCTCATGGACTAACCGCGGGTCTGACCGTGAGCTGTGACGGACTAGGCGGGGGGAAGGACAGCCTGACGCCGGTGGAGGACTGGACTATGGCGGCCAAGGAAGACCTGTACAGCAAAATTCTCCCCAGGAGGCTTCGCCAAAACCGACCGGGCTCGATGAAATCCAGCTCCAACCTGGACGTGCTGCTGTCCATGGGCTTCCCCAGACACAGGGCGTAAGTAGCAGGAGCCGAACAACGTATGGCTGCGTGTGTGGTGGTGTGTGGTGGTGGTGCAGCCGGGGACGCGGCGGCTGGGAGAGCTCTGTCTCTGGGAGGAGCAGCGGTCCGGTCCGGTCCGGTCCGGTCCGGCGGGGCATCTCTCCGGCTAGCTGCTCATCCCTATAGCTCTCGGCACAACAGCAGAGTGGAGCAGAGGAGGAAAATAAATAATTATACTCTTGAAAGATGCGTATAAAAAGTTAAAAAGACCGAGAGAAAAAAAAAGTGTCAGAATCAGTCACTTAATGACCAACTCAGAACAGCTGAGTTGGTCATTAAGTGTTGGCTTCATATTTTACCACGAATGACTGTTTTTATATCTGGGCTGGTGAATAAGTGCTGAGATGTAATTGTGAATGTTTTTCATTCTGGACCTGTGTGGGACTTCAGGAGCCTTGTGTTAGTTACTGACATGTTAAAGAGCAGCTGTAATGTTGGGTCAGTCAGGAGGCCGGAGGTCATGACCCCTGCCCGAATGTGGATGTTCCAGTTTAGGAGGATGTTCAGGTTCTTCTTATTGACGAAAGTTACAAATAAATGATAGTTTTGTGCTTTCTTCTCTAAACGGTTCCATACAAACACATCATTCCTAGAAATGCTTGTGTCCATTAAAAAAAAAAAAAAGTCATAATAATTATGTGTGCTTAGTTATATTATACAATATTTAGGCTGGGACAGAATGATTTTTGTTACATATTGGCTGTCTTCATGAAAATGTAATATATTAGAACAGCTCAATGCAAGGTATTTTATAAGTTTTCAGAAACACAGTATGCAAATGTCCTATTGCCATATTTAAAAAGCCCAGCCTATAGATTATGTTACATATCTGTTTAATGCCCTGACAGTATGATTACAATGCAAAGAAAATGCTGATAGCTTATTGAAATAAGAAGCAAACAGATAACCCTTGCATTTGTAAACATTTTCACAATCAATCATTTCAGAATCGGCTTTCATTGTGAGCACAAACAAGGAGTTTGACTACACACTCAGCATACAGACATTAAGTATAAATATATGAATTTTAGAAGTAAAGCAAAATATATTTCTTGCCATGTCAGATTCACATTGCACCGCTTGCTTAGAAATAACTTTTTTGGTTCAAATTTACTCCTCATTATATTTTATGTCTTTATAAATAATACTTTCTACAAGAGAACTTGTAGAGATGCCATGTTTTGATACTTATGTAAAAATATAATCACGTCATAAATGAGTTAATTGCGATGAAAATCTGACTAAATTCATAGCTGTGTGTTTTCTCTGGGGCTCTAAAGGTTTAAGAAGCTGTTTAGTTGTCTCTCATAGCATGCCTAGTTATACGTTCATCCAGTTGAATCAAAGAAAGGTATATTCATTTGTGATGTCAGTCAACCCTGACTGTGGTACTGGCCTCTTGTGGGTGAGCGACTTAAATCTGAAGCCGAAGCTAGAGACTGTGTCAGACGTTAAGGGAGATGATCTATGATGCTGAGGAAATGAGTAGCACTTTACCTGCACTAAAACGTAATGTTAGGATTTACTGACACTGGGGCAGTATGTGTCAAAAATACCTCTGTGAACTCAGTTGGTGATGTCTGTCTGTTTTCAGAGTTGTGCAAGATCCTTATTACTAAGAAACTAGCTCCAAGCTTTGTGGAGTTTACTGACGTTCATAGCTTTGCTTAGATTCTCACATTTCATGTTAGTGCAATTCTGATTCTGTTTAACGAGAAAATCAGCTAAGAAAAAAAAAATCAGTATGTAAACGTGAAATTAGCAGAGTTGTTGCTTCAGCTAAGCTTACCTGTGGAACGGTCTAAGAGGAGGGTTGGAGGTGTCGGAGCGCTTTGAGCTCTCAGTTGTAGGTGGGAGGCGTATATTTGGTAACACATTCCTGTTAAATTGTCAGGTTTCTCTTGGAAATGAGAATTAGATTATTATTGTTTTCTTCCACTACAATTTTAGAAAAACAACCACACTTATAGCATACAAAAGTCACTTTGTTTCAAATAAAGGAACACACTTAAATTAATACTTTAGTAAAGCACCTTTTGATTACATTTTTACAATTTTTTATTAATTTTTTTTAGTTTTAGTGGTATTAGTGACCCTAATTGAGAGTAACCAGTCAAAACCTGAAGCGCACGTTGAAGCTCTGTGGTGGTCCCATCATGTTGTGAATTTTATTCAAATGAAACTGGAATTTTTGTGAAGATGAAATCAGTTTAAGCGAGTGTGAAATATCAGTTCTGGTCCAGAAACCTTTTGGATGTTTGCTAGGATGCTGAAAATGAAGAGAGATTCTGTTTCTCTTGTAACGATTTTAACACCAAATGCGGCATCTGAAAAAGTTGCGCAGGACACACAGCAGTCACCGTGCTCTCGCCTTGGAGGGAAAAAAATGCCATTTCTCTTTCTCGGCTGATGCTGAGCTCGGTTCGTGTTTGTCATGTAAAAACAGCACAGTTAATCGCAAATTCCTTTAATTGGGTTAGAGCTTCTTGTGAACGGGCCATTAAATGCATTTGCGCCTAACACTGACAGCCATGTAAATTAGGGGAGGAATACTCTGCAAAATCAATCCATTTTTGGTTCGGTTCTTTCTTCTTCTGTATCGTGGATGTCATGAAGTGATGTAAAACCCGAGGACATGAAGATCGTTTGGCATCAGGCCCGTCGCTGTGACTGTCCCAAACAGCAGCAGTTCTGTTTTCAGCTGTACATTCTAGTTTGTCACCTCAACAGGAGGCAACACAGCCCACGCATTTTAACTTTTAAAGTCGGCACAAAGAGCTCAGTTGTGGCAAGTGTGCAATGTGAAATGTCCGCAAAAAAATCAAACATCTAAAATGAACTCGGCTATGCCAGACTGAGCGAAAACGTAATTCTGAAGAGCGTGCATGATTAACTCCTTAATTCTTGAAGTTGTGCTTGAGGAAGGACTGATGCAGCCTGAGATGAGGAGGTGAGATTATGTGGTTAGAGGAGCAAATGTGAAAAAAAGCTGAGCTGAAGAATACGGCACGCTTCTCTGAGAGGATTTGCTTTATGCTGAATGGAATGCAACAAAAAAGGGTAAAGTTTTTCTGGGCTGTAAAAAAAAAACATAAAGAGATGAAAACACAATTATTGCAATAATATAAAATTCTTATTCTCAACAGCAGTTCAGTATTTTTGCATCTTAAATCTGTGAAGTAGCCTCCTAATTCTGTTTTTGATCTTGCCATCTTACCTGAAGGCAGCAGAATGCATAACAAGGCCTATGTTTCCAATTGTCAGGCTGTTTGTAAGAAAACGTGTGAAATGCTGCAACAAAGATAAAACGAAAAATGCGAATTAGACGTGTTTCCTAGTGTGAAATTTCATCAGATGTTGGAGCTGGGGATGGCTGCAGTAAACAGGAAGTAGACGTTGAAAACTAGCGCGGAGCACAGATCTCAGAAAACTGGACAGACTCCTCACTTTGTAAGCTGAAGATTTGGACTTTCTGTTTCTAATGTGATACTTCATTTGCTCCTGATCCTGGGCACTCCAATAAACCCTCCAACTCTCCCTCACTATCCTCTTCAGGGCCCACTTGATTGCTGATTTATAATCAAAGTGTAACTTGAATATATCGAGAAAAAATCTTTCATAAGATTATCTGAGAAAGTAAATAAGTAAATGCCCCGCGTTCCCATCAGGTCACAGCTGTAGAAAATCATTAATGAAAGCTTGTACTTGTCCTCAATATCAACAGACTTTCCTTTTTTCCATTCATTCGGCCATCATTGGGAATCTTCTGACCTCTCCCAGTCAGACATATGCTCCACATTGTGTGTGGTTTGCTGAACGGACACAGAAGATGGTGGCAGGCCCCCAGGCAGGTCTGCAGTGGTCCTGTACAGACTCCCTGAGGGAAGCCACAGCCTCTTTTATAACACCACTACAGGCTTTGACACGACGTCTGACCTTCCTTTACGACCTGAGCACCCTGACCCACTAACTATCCTGACCATTTTCTGCTCTTTCTTTTGTTGTGGTACAATTCTCAAACATCTCTCTGTTACCAGGAGACTGCTTTTGGTCTGGAGAACAAGAACATTTTGAATTGGTTGAGGTTACAAACGTATCTTTATTTCTGCTTATCATCATTTCTTTTTATCAAAGACAAATTAGAAGAGCTGCACCCATTGAAATTTTGTTTGCAGTTTTTATAAAGCATTGACTTACAGACGCCAATAAAATAAACCAAAAAAATAAAATCCTGGCTCTCCCCAACTGTTCACACCAGGAACAGAGGTGACGTGTCTGAGTGAGAGAGCAGTTGCTGTAAAACACAGAAATGTGCAGTTACAGAAACTATATATAATAAGAACAAATGATTGTGCAAAATTTTTCTCTTTGTAATTGATTAGTAAAAATGAACATGTTCATTCAGAAGTGTAGTTTCTAGCAAAGCCCGACGGCTGTTACTATTCATGATGCGTTCACTGATCAGAAAAAGGATCAGATTTTTCAGCGTCCAGCCAGCTGATCATCAGGCTGGATTAACTGAAAAGGTAATTCCGGTACGCAGCCAATTTCCTACTGCATTTCTAAAAATGAATTGTTACGACTAACAACACGTAGATGGAAACTGGAGAAGAAGTGCATCATCCTGGACCAGGAAGCGGTCGTGAGTCGCCTGCACTCACTCGTGAAGATAAATTGCTTGAAAACAGAATTGATTTTTTATTTTTTTTCCCCCCCCAGAGAGCAAAAGCTTCCAGGAAGTCACAAGGTGCTTCTCGTTTACGTGGTAAATGTCAGCCATGTGCATGTCAGCCAGCTCTTAATGTAATGATCAATTATACATGAAGCAGAGTCATGCTTGTTGTTTTAAGAGCTGTGTAAATGTCTGCCTGGATGAGGGGACAGAGGATTTGTTCAGGATCGACGGTCTTTGTGTGTGTGAATCCTCGTGTGGTGGTGCTGCAATGTGACAAAAC